CTACTGTAGTGGCCCCGTCCAGGAACCTTTGGGATCCAACGGGTTTTCATCAGGTGGGCTTTGTGTACGTACATGGTAGTCAGGGTACGGCTACCACCCAGTTTTGCTAGTTCACTTGCGACATTTTCGTCGAGCCCGACTCATTACCGTTGGTATGATAACTGGAGTGCAGGGGTGATCCTGTCAAGTGAGACTAAGCTAGGGGTGTCCCTGATAGTTTAAGTCATGCATCAAGTCATATCGTCATCATGTGTGTTCCATGTCATGTCAACATTCAACGTGGTCGTCATCATCATGTATGTTCCACGTCACATCAACGTTCAATGTGGTTGTTATTCATTTTGTTATGTGTAATAATATTCCATCAAGTGCAAATTAATCAGTTAGTAAACATGTGGTTTTCCGTACGTTAAAGTACATGTATTAATATGTGTATAATCATATGGGTTATCATTTCATGTTCTTTTGTTAGATTCACTCCTCAGCTTTTGCTGAGCGTGTAGTTGTTTTTGCTACATGCAGGTAGACATGACGGTACAGGTGCTAACCCTGGAGGACAGTGATGATGGGAAGATGGGCGGTGCACGGGCGAGTTTAATAATTAAATACATTTAATAAACTAACCATTTGGGCAAGAACCCACCATCTGTCGTTTTACTTATTTTGGACTTATTTATTTACTTCCGCTTTTACTCTGCATTTATATCACACACGTTTTGGGGTTAACTCCCTAGCATTTAATTCACCAATTAAGCCCAACCATTTTTCATAATAATTAGACATTAATGTTCTTTTCGCTACGGACGGTTCTCGGACCGCCCATGTAACCCTACCGGTCCGTTGGGTCGCGGGTGAACCGGGTCCGCGGGAGGCGGGTGTTACAATTTGGTATCAGAGAAGTTCGGTTCTTGTGAAAAAAACATATTTTGTCATCTTGGTCAAAAAGTATTTTTCAAAAAAAAATAATCCATAGCCGCATCTCCCATCACATCACTTCGAGGGAAAGGTACACCGTTATTTAATTCACTTATATGTTATATTGTAGTTAGTTCTGATCTAAGATCTACTTATAGAGAATAAGCCAAGCAGCAGGCAACGATGGACAGGCTGTCCCACATGGGGAGCCTGAGCATGTGAGCATGCACACGGAAGCGTCAAGCTAAGCTTCACACCCCAGCAGGTCCCTGAGCAGGCGGGCGCCAGGCGCAGGCCCTGTTCTAGAAGCCATTCCCAACATCCAGCCGCAGTTCGCGGTTAACTTCATGAACTTCTTCTAACAGTTGGCTGGTGCATACGTTCCACCACCGCCACCGCCAGTGGCTGTCGTCACTATCGAGAAGCTCCGGAAGAATGGAGCTGAGTAATTCCTAGGCGATCAGATCGCCGACCCCATGATCGCCAAACGGTGGTTTGAGCGAACCACTCGAGTTTTGGGAAACCTGAGGGTCCCGCTGAATCAGCGCGGCGACCTCGCAGTCGCATTAATTCAGGATTCCGCCTACGACTGGTGGAAACGCGTGGGAGCAGACGTCCCTGAGCCCGTGCAGTGGGCCACTTTTGAGCAACTCTTCCCTGAAGAGTACATTCCGGAGCACTTCGTCGAGGCGAAGCGAGAGGAGTTTCTGAAGTTCACCCAGGGTGAACTCACTTTACCCGAGTATCGTCAGAAGTTTGACGAGCTTGCAGGGTTTGGGCAAGACCTCATCCCAACCATGGAGAAGCGGTGCAAGCGCTTTGTGGAGGGTCTACGCCCCGACTTATCAGCTCATTTGATCACTGCTCCTCGGGTCGACATTAACGCACTGTTCAAACATGCATTGGACATGAATGCGGCCC